TTTGAGCATTTTAGCCGTTGGGCCCTTCACGGGCCCAACGTCCGGCACGTGACGGGCCTCCCATTTGGCCCGTCACGTGCCAAACGAGAGGCACGTGAAGGGCCCAACGGGAGGCCCGACACGTGCCGTGCCGGCAGGCCCGCGAAGGGTCCCCTAGACCAAATGAAATGGGTTGTTTCATGGGCCGTTTCGCGGGCTTGGGCCGGGCTAACCAAGGGCCGAATTAGGGCTTGGGCCGGGCCGAATAAGGGCCGTGCCGCGGGCCTCCACGTGCTTGGGCCCTGCTTGGGCCTCGGGCTGAGAAGCTGAGGCCCAGCCCTAGCCCATTACACGTGCCGTGCCAGCACGGCCCGTAACAGTAGTGAACCGGGCCGTGCCGAATCCTGGGCCGTCCATGGACGGCCCGGTCCATTTGACACCTCTATGTAGCACCAATAGAAGATAAGGTGCAGGAAAACCGTCTGAGGTGGTATGGGTATGTACAACGTAGATCGTTAGATGCACCTGTTCGTGCTTGGGAGAACATCCAAATACCTAGTACTAGGAGAGTGAGGGGTAGACCAAGAATTACTTGGGCTGCCGTAGTTAGGCATGACTTTCAAGATCTAGGGCTTCAGCAGGGTCTCGTATTTAATAGAGCAGACTGAAAATGAGAAATTCATATAGCCGACCCCAATTAATTTGATATTAAGACTTGTATTTATTGTTGATGTTGTTGTTATAGCCAGTTAAGCAGCCTGGGGTCTTAAAAACAAAACCGTTTGTAGTGGTTTTTTTTTTTTTTTGGATGGAGTTTGTAGTGTTTGAAGTGTTTGTGTTACTTTACTTAAGTGTTTTAAGTAAATTTGTTTTTTTTTTGCTCGAAAGTAGTGTTTTAAGTAAATGGAAATTATATTAGCACCCCCACTATTTATTAAGGCACCCCATAATGAAAGAACATAGACCAAAAGGGACAACTTGAATACTTGATAGCATGCAACTATTCTCCTATCACATTATCACAAAGTCAAATTAATTAACAACATGCATTCATATGTTAACATGAAAAGAAGTCCAAAAACTAAACAACTACTAAGCTACATATATTATGCTAACATTGACTATATACTAACTAAACAACTAAATACCACTAAAAAAATAATATATACGTACTAAAAATTTAAATAACAAAATAACTAAATATACTAACCAATGTTCTGAAGCTTTTTTTTATTAAACACGTGCAAATACTATATATACATCCTCTTTTTTATTATTATATTACAACTTTATTCTTTATTTGGAACAGTACTCGCCATGCTTTATTAAAATTTATCTTTTATAGATTTAATCTATCCAAGAAAAGTTATAAAAATTGAAGCACGAGAAAAAACAAGTACATTATACTAACTAAAGATTTAACAACTAATCTATATTAACTATATTATACCGACTAAACAACTAAATATATATCACTTAGAAAAAATGTATACATACTAACCAGTGTTGGCAACGGGTTGCAACGAGGCGAGTGGCTGTGATGTGGCGAAGAAGATGAGGTGACGGGCAATGAACGACCGATAAGATGAGGAGCGATGGTATATTTAGGTATCGTTCAGTTTGCAGATTTGAGTTTTTAATTCGAATTGAGATGTGATTTTATGTGAGAGAAGTTATATGTGACTTTTTATGAGAATTTTTAACTATAATAAAATTAAAATTAAAAACTCAAATTGATAAAGTGAATGAGGCCTTAACAACTATCTACAGGAAATGATTGTTGAAAAGTACGAAATTTTCAAAATGCGAAAATTGTACCATCACCTAATGACTTTAAAAAAAAAATGTGCCCATTAGACGACGGTTTTATTATTAAAATTGATTGTAAGCGGTTTTATTATTAAAACTGTTCCCTATTTGACGTCATTAAATACACTGTGATACTTGTTTTATTCTCTGTTGCCAACTGTGTATGTGAAGTATGCTTATCCATGTTTTTATACATGTCATAACACGTATATAAAATATAGTTATAGAAATGTACATAAAGTATGGTCATGACGTACAAAAATATACAGGGCATAGCATTATTTTCAAAGACGGAAAGAATAAATACATCCTTGCAGAGCACTTTTTCTTCACAACTTTTCTTCATTATTAGATCAAATTGGTTCCCTTGGATTACTCTGAGTAATCCGAGGGAACCATCGCAGCCTTTTCCTCCTAATCAGGTTCATGCCATGAATACATTTTTCAGCCGTCGAGACTCATATTAGGTAATGGGGGTGTTTTTTTTTTTTTTTGGAATTGTCGGTTTTGTGAAAAGTTTAGTTTTCTACTCCTTTGAATATAATTATCTTGCTTTTGAGGCGGAATTAATGGCTGTAATTCTTGCTTCTGAGATAACATGGAAATATGGCTCACAGTTTTTCAGTATTAGACTAGAGTCGGATGTAGTCTGAGATAATATAAACTCATTCATTTTACCAATTTTAATTTAAAATTTAAATTTTATTATAATAAAAAATTTTAAAAAATAGTCACATATAATTTTTTTTGTTATGGTAGCAAAGCACTTTGCTTACCAATCATACTTTTTACCTCTGACGACGAAAAAAAAAAAAAATCATACTTTCACCTCATAAAAGAGCCTTGCATAAACATGCAAGATTAAATCTTACAAATTTCTTCCGAATTATGTCATTTATGTCAAAATATCCCTCAAATTGCTAGATGCATATATTGAGCCCCCAGATTTATATTATGCGTCTAGATTCACCTCAAAATTCTGAAACATGACATTTTTTTTTGGACAAAGTTGTCAAGTTCTTTCCTGGTTTAAGATTAAATATAATATTTACCTTTCCCAACAAATAAACAATTTGGACACTATGAGTGCGTTTAAAACTCATTCTAAAATAATTTTATTTTTTGTATGAAAATGGAAATAAAAACGTTTTCAATCTCAGACATAAATTATTTTTGAAAATGCGTTTGGTATAGTTTTATCAAGAGATTATTTTCAGTATAAAAAATTCATTAATGTCTCTCTTTTTCTCTCTCTACTTGAGAGAGGAGAAAACGAAAATAAAAAATGAAAAACGACTTTCATTTCTCTCTCATTTTACACTAAATCAAAAATCATTTTTATTTTTATTTTTTATTTTTAATTGTGTCAAACGTCGTTTTTATCTCGTTTTAATTTTTTTTCTTGAAAAACGTGAAAAATAAAAACAAATCCAACCACAGCCTATAACTCTGATATATTCTTGTTTTAGTTGCTCAAAAGCAAGAAAAGAGATGAACAAAAGTGGAGAATGCACCCTAATTCAGTTAGGCTTAAATTATTTGGGTGTTACAAGAGATTGATCATGAATTTGCTCTCCTCATTGTGTGCTGCAAGTGCCAATATTTCAGGAATGCATGCCGCGTGGTTTCTAAATTTTTTGGAGCACGTTGACAAAAATGATATATAATTGATAGGAAATTCCTAAAAATTTACCCCAAATCTTATTGGAATTTCAGCTTAGTCCTGCGAAAAAAGACAAGATGTCAAAGAAAATCGAATTTTGTGCCAAAAAAAGCGAGCATAGGTTTTGTCAGACTATGGGATAAACTTTCTCCAAAATTATATGACTTAGGGGCTGGCTGCCAAATTAAAGCAAACTTGTATATTGATGAATTTTTAATAGTTCATCAGTGGTTATTATTTAATGTAACGTGATAAAAATTTAATTATTAATTGTTATAAATTTTTTTAATTAATTATATAATTTATTATAACCATATGATTATATATAATTTCAGATTTTTAAAGATTATAGATTTCAGCAAAATATATATACCAAATCAAAAGGAAAAAAAAATACTAAATTAAAAAGAAAAAAAAGTTCACGTGATGCCGACACCTATCTCTAAAAAGTTAGGGCTCTGCCCTAAATTGCTCAGTTGCCGTGGACACCTATCTCTAAAAAGTTAGGGCTCTGTCCTAAATTGCTCAGTTGCCTTTTATCTCACCTTTTTGATATATTTAGATCTTATTTGCTTCGTATATTTAAATTTTTAATTTAAATTAAGACGTTATATTTTTTTAAAATTTTTAACTGTAATAAAAAAATTAAATGTGATATTTTTTAAAAATTTTTAACTGTAATAGAAAAAATTAAATGTAGTATTTTTAAAGAATTTTTAACTGTAATATAAAAAATTAAATGTGATATTTTTTAAAAATTTTTAACTATAAAAATTTAAAATTTAAATTAATGAAATGAAGGAGACCTTAACCTTTTAGAATACTTTATATTGATTGTTAAGAGTAAAATATCCGACGACTTTGTAAATATTAAGTCCGTTAATTTCACCGATTCGAGTTTTTAATTTTAAGTTTCTACAGTAAAAAGCTCTCAGAAAATGTCACATCAACTTTTTCTGCTACAGTGAAAAGCTCTAAAAAAATGTTACATCTCAGCTCGAATTAAAAACTCGAATCCGCGAAGTGAACGAGGCCTTATAAATAAAATCGCACATCTAATGACAATTTTGGCGTTTTCAAATCCTTTTTTTTTTTCCCACACAATATTCTCTCTTTGCCCGCTTAATTTATTTAACCTGGCTGATACTTAACAATACCCCCAAGTGCTGAGATATATATATACCATTTTATCATGCACCCAATTATATATCACAGAAGAAAACAAAAATTTAAATAACAAACAGAAAATCATATTTTCAAATATATATAATAGCTCCAAATTTATGGTCACCGACCAGGTCCTTTTTCCAAATATCAAAAGTCTCATAATTTAAGCACAAGAGTTACAGAACCAATATACCGATCACGTCGGCAACAACGACAAAGGAAAGAAAAAACTACAAAAGGAGCAATATCTGCTGCACTACTGCTGGCTTATTCTTGGCTAATACACAAACATCCGTACTGCTTGGCAATTATAACACATTATATATAGAAAAGCTACAAATAAGTTCAGTCACACACACATATATATATTATATACACATATATATATATATATAGAGAGAGAGAGAGAGAGAGAGAGAGATAATAGTACTGCCAAGTGATGATGAACTGATAACTGATTTTTTTTCAAATTAAGTGTGTTTTTTTTTTTGGTCAGCTAGCGTCTTCTACAGGCAGTTTCCCTCTGGGCGTTGAAGAAAACAGCTGCCACAGGAAGGCCAAGCTCGTTCTCTTGGGCGAAAGAACGAGTGCTGAATCGCTCCCTTGAAGGAGGAGGAGCAGCCACTGTTTGCCTGCGTTTCTGCTTGAACAAAAGGAGCACAAACCTGTGGATCCCAATGTTTGGCCTTGGCATTTCATAGCTCACCACTTCCCTTCCTGTCATCCATGATCATTTTAATTGTTCCAATCAATTAATTCATAACATATCATCCCATGAGCACATAAGAATTAATTAAAAGCAGCTCAAATTTTTTATACAACATGACATAATATGATTAGTTAAACACTGATTGAAAGTCTATTTATTTCGTTGATTTGAGTTTTTAATTCGAATTGAGATGTGATTTTATGTGAAAGTTTTTTACTGTAATAAAAAAAGTTAGATGTGACTGTTTCTTAGAGTTTTTTACTGTATGAACGGAACCTCACTAAAATTGGACAAAAGTTCTAATTTCTAGTTTTAACCCCATGCAGACAAACGTGTCAAAATTTTAAATACTGGACCACTTGTTTTTCCCAAAAAAAAAAAAAAAAATGATAATTTTAAGTGGCTAGGAATCAGGTTACTCAGCATTTTTCACATGCTTCTAAGAACAGTGTGATCAACAACAACTTTTGTATAAAACCAAAATCCCTTTTCTGGTGAAATGATATATATACATTTAGCAGCTGCAATAGCTAGCATGTCTCAATTATGTTCGCACCTACCGCTACAAAAATTCTCGAGAAATAAATAGGAGGCTATATATATTAGGGTGGCCTTACCAAATGAAACATCAGTAGTGCCGGGGATGTCTGTCACTATCCTGCAGTGAGAAATTTCTCGGTTAACAAATAATGCCTTTGCCTACATTATCTACAAAGTAGCCTTTGAATTATCATCGCAAAGCAAACAAAACAAAAATAAATAAATAACAAAAAAAAGGAAAACTCTGCTTTTCGGGAGTTTCTCTGGTAGTCATTCTCCACTGGAATCTCAATTTTCAACCGTTAAATTTAATTAAAATCACATCGGGTTGAAAAAACATGTAGAAGAGATAGATTTTAATACTGATGATTGAAAAATAAAGAACATCAGTAGTCCCATTTTTACAAGGGACTACTAGAGAAACTCCCATTATTAACTTGTTTTTAAATAGTTTCTTACATTTATTTGTTTATGATGAAACTATAATTACTAAGAATAATGAGCATCAATTATAATATTCAGTGTTAAAATTCCGTCCAACCGAAATAACTCATAATCAATAGTAAAAGTATAAACAGTCAAAAAAATGGACATCCTAACTATTAAATTCTCTATACACATGACACAATTAATCTCTATACACATGAAACAATTAATTTAACTCCTGAAAAAAAAAAAATAGTAACAAACTATATACATCTCACAATAACAATCTAAATTCATTAAAAAAATGTTTCATAAGTTGGATAATTGTCCCCTCATCATCGTACAAATAGATCTATATGTACGCCAATGTTTTAATAGCACAATTAAAGCGGTACTGAGTGATATGTTATTTTTAGTTTATGTTTTGTGTCGAATTTTCTAATAAAAAGCTTTAGGTGCGTTTAGAACTCGTTTCAAAATAATTTTATTTTTTGTACGAAAATAGAAATGAAAACGTTTTCACTCTCAGACAGAAATTATTTTTAAAAATGAATTTTATAGTTTTATCAAGAGATTATTTTTAGTATAAAAAAATTCATTAATATCTCTCTCTCTACTCGAGAGAGGAGAAAACGGAAATAAAAAATGAAAAACGATTAAAAGTCATTTTTCATTTCTGTCCCATTTTACACTAAATTAAAAAGTTGTTTGCATTTTCATTTTTTGTCTTTAATTATGCCAAACATTGTTTCTCTCCCGTTTTCAGTTTTTCTTTCTCAAAAAACGTGAAAAACAAAAACAAAAACAACTCCAAACATAGTCTTTGTGCCAACAATTAAAAAGTAACAAATTGATCACTTATAATCGGTGTTAAAAGAAATCTGTACATGTGTTTATATCTACATCTATATTTATACAAAAAAACACTGTTTATTGTAAAAATATGTATCAATTATTGAATCATGCAGTATGCTTGTTGTGACATCAATAAGCTGACGTATGTTACCAAGCTTTTTTTTTTTATTTTCTTGAGTATATATGAAACCAAGCTAATTCAAGAATAATAACAGAACTTCCTCGCTTTTTATAAACTTGGAGAAAAATTTTTGTTGAAGCTTTTTAACAATTTGTATGTGACATCATTTACAGTATCGCATAGTTCTTATGACAATCATGAGCACTTACAGTTCCATAAAATCATGTATATACTCTTGATCCACTTTTCTTGCTAATATTGTAGGACATTGTACACAGCTTCAAGCTATAGTATTATAAGGGGAAAAAAAATTAAAATAAAAAGATAGCATACTAATTTTTGTATGTATTAATTTGCTATAAATATATATATATATATATGTATGCATGTATTTAAAAGTTAGTAATAATTGAGAATATTTTCACTCGAACGGAATCTTTGGAAGGGAACTTTAACACATCCCAAAAAAAAAAAGAAAAAATAGCATCCATTAAATTTTCAATCACACACTCAATATATTAATAAAAAATAGAAAAATTAAATAAGAAAGGAAAATGGTTTGAAGGGCAACTCAAAATAAACATAAGAGAAAGGCTGACAAACACAACATGTGACATTAAAATAAAAACATGAACTTGCTAAGTTTTCAAGTTAAGATATAGTTTTTTGGTCCAAAAAAATTGGAAGACGAGTTATTAAAATCCTCAAATGACAAAACCTATTGAAAAAAAAAAAAAAAAAAAAAAAAAAAAAAAAAAAAAAACTATATATATGTGCGAGGAAAAAAATGAGTGCATAATCTCTTAGAATTAGATCCTTTCAATTCACTAATTTTTGGAATTTGAACAAGAGATAGAGAATTGAATATAGTTAAGTTGCTAGTCCCTAAATTATGGAAATTGAGTCACTTTGCTCCCTCAAGTTTTAATTTTGACAAATCATTACGCCATGAACTTCGATATTTTTGTAGTTCAAGGCCTGACACTAAAATTGGAGATTGACTTCTAAAATTTATCAAAGATAATCACATTCCAATTGCATAGTAATTGATATTTTTACAAAAATAATATAATTTTTAAAGGGTTTTTGATGACTAAAAATAGAATATTTTGCATTTAATGTAATTATTTTTGTAAATATTTCAATCATCATGCGACTACGTGATTCGCTCTGTAAAATCCTTTTATCAAAATTAAAAACTCAGAGACGAAAGTGGCATGATTCTCATATTTGATGGACCAAAACAACCCTATAATTAGATTTGACGTAGATATTGTTTTAGCTGGAAATTTTAGCTCTTTTTTTTTTTTTTTTTTTTTTTGGTAAGGGAAAACAAAAAAAAGGAAGATGAGAAATTAGACTATCATGCAGGTTTGAGGGATTTTCTAGGGGTTATACCAGTGTAAGTGCTCCCTTAAATAAGGATCACTAGGACCAGGGACATCCGGGTCTGTCATGACCTGCAGAAAAGAATAATATCCAAACTCGAGTATAGAATTAACTCAACACTTAATTTGGAGAGAAAAAATATATATTCAATAAAAAGAAAAAATAAAAAAATAAAATCAAAAGGCTATACCAGAGTGAAAAAGGATCTCATATCACCCCCATGAACCTCAACCTTTGGTTTTGTGGTTACTGAGGAAGGAAGCAGCTCGTGACCGTTGTATACCTTCTTGTTGGAGTAAGTCACCGAAATACGAAGGCTCGGAGAAAAAGGATCGACAACATCTCCGATCACTCTTCCGAGCACAAGAGGATCAGACATATGCTTTGCCATGATCACTATTAATTATGTTGATTAATCAAAGAAGAAGAATGAAGATTAAGAAGAATATCAAAGGCAAGGATAATCGCTTTTGTGCGTGATTGTTTTAATCTTTTCTTTCCCTTTTTCTCTTTTGTAATACGTGCTTTTGGAAGGTTTTTTGTTTCTTATTCCTCTTGAAATGGGAAACCCTTTATTTATAGAGTCTACGAGGATCCATGAAAGCTCAAGCAACTAGCGACAGATCCATTAAAAAAGAAGTTAAGTGGGGTTTGCAAAATAAAATAAATAAATAGTCAAGATAATAATAATAATAATAACACTACAGACAAAAGCAAAAGGAGGAGGTGAGAGAAAAGTAAGGGTATAGAAAAGTCAACGTCAACAAAAGTTTTAAGCATATGTTTGAGAAAATTGTTAGAAGAAAATTGCTTTTTCTTATTGTTTCTTGCGAAAGGTGCTAACATCGCATGATTTAGAGGTGATGAATATCCAATTATGTTAGAAGCCATCTCAAATACTGATTTAATTCCAATTTAAGGAGTGTGTGGGAAATGAGATTATTAATGAAGCCGATTTTTGTTTTGTTTTGTTTTGTTTTGTTTTTGTTTTTGTTTTTTTGTTTTTTTGTTTTTGTTTTTTTTTTGTGTGTGTGTCATTTACTAACGTATCTAGCTTGTTGAGTTGTTGATTAGAATTTGCGCGAGAACATACGATGAGTAATAATATGATTGTGTAACGCTATAATGCATGCATGATGTTAGTGATTAACATCACTTTTTGTTGAAGATTTTTGGACGAATTTTTTGTGAACGGTTCGATTGAGGAAACTGAAAACTCTCACTTGGAGCATAGATATGCAGGCCTTAAGAAGGAGCTCTCGGCACCAAAATGCCTTGTTTAGAGATTGTTTACAGATAAGGTTTTGCTTTTTGTTCCTGCGGTCGAAATATATCAAAAAAAAAAAAAAAGAAAAGAAAAAAAGGAACATCCCTCCGGATGTGTTTTACTTTGAGTTTAAGCGTATGTTTGTTTGACCGTGATCCAATTGCAACACTAAGGAGACGTTTGGTTCATAGATTAGAATCATAAGATTATAATAATTTTTGATTTACGTGTATTTTTGTCAGAGAAAATATTGTAGCGAACTATGAACTATAATTCGAATCGGGGTACAAATCCCCCAACCAAACAATCCCTAATATATCCCGTGAGTTTGACCCATGTGGTACGATTTATTTAATTCGAATTATTTGTTAATTAAGGACTAACTTATAAATAGTTTTTGTCCTCAAGCTCACTTTGATCCTTGATATTCAAAACATTTCATAACTCACCCTTTTTTCAGTTTGTTTCGGTTGTAATCCTTTTCAACAGTTAAGTGTAAAAAAGAAGATAGAATATGTATGGGATGGTGAAAGAAAATAGAATACAGAGAATAAATGTAAAATAACTCTCCCCACTTATAGACTATTGTCAATTCTTTGTTCTATTTTTAACATGATGAAAATGATTAAAATTGAAACGAACTAAATGATAAGTTTAAAACGTTTTAAGAGTCATGCACTAGAGTGAGTGAGATTGATAACAAAATTTAGGCACCATTATGGGATTAACAAAAAAGATTTTGTTTTGTTTTGTTTTTTTTTTGGCAAAAATTATATGAAGGAAAGAAAATCTACAATTACTTGTATATTTTTCGAGACATAAATGTCCAAGTAACGAAACAAAACGAGGAGTATTTCAATTTTTTAGCTAGAATCTGGAAGATCTATAGTATTTCAATTTTTTTATCGATACATATTTATATTACGTTATCACCTCGCGATTGATTATTGTTTTTTTTTTTTCTTTCTATGTCTGTAATTTCCTACGAGCATAGTATACTATGGTTTGTTGATCAGCAATGCTCTCAAGTTTCTTTTTTGCTGAAAATGCATAAGTTTCTTGTCAAAAAATAAAAAAAAATTTCCAATTTTTCCATTACATGATTCATCAACGTTACTCTAAAGTTGAAATTAATCCTCAAATTTGATTTAGCATAAAAATATTTTTTTTAAAAAAACTTAAAAGGGTATATGCTAACAAAAATATAAACTTGAAAACTTGAACTTTTTATGTAAATTAGTACTCCTAATTCCTTCAGGTCTTATATATATTTATTTCTATGAAATTACTTCACAGGATACCTAAATATAAGCTTAATTAATATTATATATCTATATATAACTATATCTCTATATATTTGTAAAACTTGAAATATATAACCACACACGCAGTACCGGTTCAGGGCAAGACCAGTTAGGCACTCATCTGAGGCCTCTTGAGCTGCAAGCCCCTATTATCATGTTACAAGTATATAGTAACGTAGTGAATGTATTCATATTTTCCATTAAAAAGAAACGCATATAATCATATATAAAGGCCGTTGCTCATTTTTTTAAATCCAGTCCGAAATTAGCCTAATTTATACATACAAATACATATGTAAAATTATCAAAGTTATAGATGTTGAAAATTTTCAATCAAATATTATTTACTTACAAAGCTGAGAAACTTTAAAACTACCATCATTAATGAATGCTTCCATTTCCCAATAAAACTTTTTAGTTGGAGATTGATATTCTACTTTGAACTAATGTTATTTCTCATATTTTCAACTTATGCAATTTTTTTTTTTTTTTTTTGGTTTCCAAAGTACGTATTTCACTTGAATCTTGCTAAATCTAAAAATAAGTTTGCAAGAAAGATATGTTAATAAAATTTAGAGTGTACTGATTTTTTTTATTATAAAATTAAACAATGAGAAGAATAAGATTTTATAAATAGAACATTTTATAATACATAAATATTGCTTTTATTAGTATATATGTTCCAAAATATTGCTTGCATAGCTAATTATTCCCCTTTACTAGGCCTTATTTAAAAAATTCGCTTAAGAACTCTTAGCGTCCGTTTGGTTCATGGATTAGAACAATAAGATTAGAACTATTTTCGATTTATGTGTGTTTTTGTGAGATAAAATACTGTAGCAAACCATGAACTATGATTCGAATCAGAGAACAAATGCTCCAACCAAACGGGCTCAATAATTGTCTAAACCAGGTCCTGACCACAAGAGTGACATATAACCATACTAATCGAACATCCCTCGAAGGATTTCGGTCGCCAAATCGTAGCTGTGCCAAATACAACACCGTCCACGGAGGCGGCATCGTGACTCCGATCATCAAACTCCCTTCAATCCTCTCTCTTTGCTCTCTAGGGCTTTAGTCTGCACTTAGCTTCTATGATGCTGCTTATACAGGCTATGTTAAAAGAATCATGAGTGTGTTTGATTGTTTGTTTATCCATTTGGATGTCTGTTTCTAGAACTCAGTATACGTCAATTCCTCTGAATTGATTGCCTATCATGGTCATGATGGTTTCATGTAGTTTTGATACCATATATGTGTTGGTATTTGTATTTTCTTCATTTTGAATTATATTGCTTTTTTGAGAAAAAGAAAATATAGATGTAAAAGATATTAAACATAAAAATTGATTTAGCAGATAATACTGAGGCGACATTCTCAAGAGGGGAAAAGACGCGGTGGCCCATTTATATAAAAGGTGCGAAAAGAAGAAATTCTCGAGACAGACTCCATGCTAGAATCTTCTCGGTCTAACCATTCACTGAAGACTGGAGTTACCAAATTGAGAAAAAAATATGAAACGAGGTCTAGTCATGAAGCTATGTGAGCATAAAGCAAAACGCCACCATTAATACATTTTATAAACCTAAATGATGCACAAAAGTCACCGAAAGATTGGTAGTGGTGAAAGGTCATTTCAAGCCTTAAAGAGATTCAGTTTGGGTCATTTCCATTCTTAATTGGTAATTTGGAGGAAGAGTGGTTTCCATATGGAGGAAGAAATGCCCTATTCAGTACTCCCTTTTTCCTGACGGATATAATCTACTTTGTGAGCACTTGATGATAATCTTAAGCACTGATGACTTTCTAGTATTGTTTTTGTTACTCAGAATCTCTTTCTCTTCAACCATCTCTACTGTCTTTTCCACTCCTTTGCCACCATGGTTCGCAATTTTATTCTAAAAGCCTACGCCAATAATTTACTGAGAATGAATAGATTATAGGGTGTTTAATTAATGTGCCTAAAAATTGATGTCTTAATTAATTATGTTTCAATGGTGTAGTTTTATTTGCCGTTTGATGTAGAAAAAATGGTTAGGATAGCATCCGCATTAAACAACACAATTAAAATAGAAAGCGTGTCACGTCATATTTTATTAATGTGTGGTGTTCAGCATCACTTGTATTATATAGTATTGTATTTTTATTTTTATTTGCCGTTGGATATTATATCATTGTTGTAGAAAAAATGGTTAGGATAGCATCGACATTAAACAACACAACTAATAGAAGGTGTGTCACTTCATATATTTATTAATGTGGGGTGCGTAACACCACTTGTGTTGTATAATATTTTTTATTTTTGATTAATTTATTAATACGTGTTGTATAATGTTGTTTTTTTATTTTTGTTTACTTTAATATAGTACTGTGTTTTGAAATTTTAGCTAGCATACCCTCTGCAAATAACTCATAATTATATAAAACATTTGAACTATATCTTGTTTATATCTCCCATTCAGTAACAGAATGTTAACTTTTTTTTTAGGTATTTGATTTCTGTTAAATATTTCCGGTACAGGTATTTTTTTCGTTAGAAAAAACAGTGCACCTCTCTTCACTTCAACCATCGATTTTTTTTTTTTTTTTTTTTTTTTTTTTTTTTTTTTTTTTTTTGCACTTCTTTTGCCACCAAATTTTGTAATTTAGTGGACAATAGATCTTAGTTAGGTTATTTTACCTAACAATCTTGTTATTTGCTGTATTCATAATTTTCTTTTGTGTCATATACATGATTATAGGCTATGTCTTTTAATTGGACGAAATGCCTTTTAATGAGATATTATTTTTGGCACATTCTTATGCTCTAGTCTAAAAAGAAAAGAAAAATCAGGAGATGGTTCATGATTTTAATCCTCTTTAGATTTTGAACTATTTAGTATGGTTTATACTCCCTTCCAGATACGAGAT